TGTTTGCCAGGTTTTGTTTGTTGGTGTTTGCCAGGTTCTGTTTGTTGGTGTTTGCCAGGTTTTGTTTGTTGGTGTTTGCCAGGTTCTGTTTGTTGGTGTTTGCCAGGTTTTGTTTGTTGGTGTTTGCCAGGTTCTGTTTGTTGGTGCTTGCCAGGTTCTGTTTGATGGTGCTTGCCAGGTTCTGTTTGTTGGTGTTTGCCAGGTTTTGTTTGTTGGTGTTTGCCAGGTTCTGTTTGTTGGTGCTTGCCAGGTTCTGTTTGTTGGTGCTTGCCAGGTTCTGTTTGTTGGTGTTTGCCAGGTTTTGTTTGTTGGTGTTTGCTGTGGTTCTGTTTGTTGGTGTTTTTCTGCTAGGTTCTGTTTTGTTGGTGTTTGCTGTGGTTCTGTTTGTTGGTGTTCGCCAGGTTCTGTTTGCTGGTGCTGCTGTGTTCTGTTTGCTGGTGTTTTCTGTGATTCTGTTTGTTGGTGTTTGCTGTGTTGTTTGTTGGTGTTTTTGCCAGGTTCTAGTTTGTTGGTGTTTCTGCTGTTTTGTTTTGTTGGTGTTTTTTTGCTGGTGGTTCTGTTTGTTGGTGTTTCTGCTGTGGTTTTTGTTTGCTGGTGTTTCGCTGTGTTCTGTTTTGGTGTTTGCTGTGGTTTTTGTTTGCTGGTGTTGTACCTCGTTTGTTGGTGTTTGCTGTGTTCTGTTTGTTGCGTTTGGGTTGTTCTGTTTGTTGGTGCTTGTCAGGTTCTGTTTGTTGGTGTTTGCCAGGTTCTGTTTGTTGGTGTTTGCCAGGTTCTGTTTGTTGGTGTTTGCCAGGTTTTGTTTGTTGGTGCTTGTCAGGTTTTGTTTGTTGGTGCTTGCCAGGTTCTGTTTGTTGGTGCTTGCCAGGTTCTGTTTGTTGGTGTTTGCCAGGTTTTGTTTGTTGGTGTTTGTCAGGTTTTGTTTGTTGGTGCTTGCCAGGTTTTGTTTGTTGGTGCTTGCCAGGTTCTGTTTGTTGGTGCTTGCCAGGTTCTGTTTGTTGGTGTTTGCCAGGTTCTGTTTGTTGGTGTTTGCCAGGTTCTGTTTGTTGGTGTTTGCCAGGTTTTGTTTGTTGGTGTTTGTCAGGTTCTGTTTGTTGGTGTTTGCCAGGTTTTGTTTGTTGGTGCTTGCCAGGTTTTGTTTGTTGGTGCTTGCCAGGTTCTGTTTGTTGGTGCTTGCCAGGTTCTGTTTGTTGGTGCTTGCCAGGTTCTGTTTGTTGGTGCTTGCCAGGTTCTGTTTGTTGGTGTTTGCCAGGTTCTGTTTGTTGGTGCTTGTCAGGTTTTGTTTGTTGGTGTTTGCCAGGTTCTGTTTGTTGGTGTTTGCCAGGTTCTGTTTGTTGGTGTTTGCCAGGTTCTGTTTGTTGGTGTTTGCCAGGTTCTGTTTGTTGGTGTTTGTCAGGTTCTGTTTGTTGGTGCTTGCCAGGTTTTGTTTGTTGGTGTTTGCCAGGTTCTGTTTGTTGGTGCTTGTCAGGTTCTGTTTGTTGGTGTTTGCCAGGTTCTGTTTGTTGGTGTTTGCCAGGTTTTGTTTGTTGGTGTTTGCCAGGTTTTGTTTGTTGGTGCTTGTCAGGTTTTGTTTGTTGGTGCTTGCCAGGTTCTGTTTGTTGGTGCTTGCCAGGTTCTGTTTCTTGGTGTTTGCCAGGTTTTGTTTGTTGGTGTTTGTCAGGTTTTGTTTGTTGGTGCTTGCCAGGTTCTGTTTGTTGGTGCTTGCCAGGTTCTGTTTGTTGGTGTTTGCCAGGTTCTGTTTGTTGGTGCTTGCCAGGTTGTGTTTGTTGGTGTTTGCCAGGTTCTGTTTGTTGGTGTTTGCCAGGTTTTGTTTGTTGGTGTTTGTCAGGTTTTGTTTGTTGGTGTTTGTCAGGTTTTGTTTGTTGGTGCTTGCCAGGTTTTGTTTGTTGGTGTTTGCCAGGTTTTGTTTGTTGGTGCTTGCCAGGTTTTGTTTGTTGGTGCTTGCCAGGTTCTGTTTGTTGGTGCTTGCCAGGTTCTGTTTGTTGGTGCTTGCCAGGTTTTGTTTGTTGGTGTTTGCCAGGTTCTGTTTGTTGGTGTTTGCCAGGTTTTGTTTGTTGGTGTTTGCCAGGTTCTGTTTGTTGGTGTTTGCCAGGTTCTGTTTGTTGGTGTTTGCCAGGTTCTGTTTGTTGGTGTTTGCCAGGTTTTGTTTGTTGGTGTTTGCCAGGTTCTGTTTGTTGGTGTTTGCCAGGTTCTGTTTGTTGGTGCTTGTCAGGTTTTGTTTGTTGGTGTTTGCCAGGTTCTGTTTGTTGGTGTTTGCCAGGTTCTGTTTGTTGGTGTTTGCCAGGTTCTGTTTGTTGGTGTTTGCCAGGTTCTGTTTGTTGGTGTTTGCCAGGTTCTGTTTGTTGGTGTTTGCCAGGTTCTGTTTG